TGAACCCTTGATAATTTATAAATTATTGTTTTTTCATGTCTTACACTGACCAATGTCTCCCTTCACCCACTTTCTGTTGTCTATCCCGCTGGGAGGGGGTTATATTAGATCATTGTGATCGGTTCCCTCTATCTCCCCCCATACTCTGCTGGTATGGCTACTTTCAGTATTGGTCCTGAAAGGTTTATCTGTCCTGGATTCCCTTTGTTTACAGCTCTTATCTGTATCTGTGTACATGCCCAGGTCAAGCCAGATCTGTAAGGCAGAATTTGGGTCACGACAGTAGGGGGGAGGAAGCATCAAAGAACTAGAGGCAAGCTGTATGTTTCATAGGTGCTATACTGCACCCTGACTGGCTTGTCGCTTCCTTGTGACCCTTCTGTAAGGGGATGTCCAATTGCCTACAGATGGGCTTTGGGTCTCCACTCTGCACTCCCCCTCATTCACAATGATGATTTTTTTGTTCTAGGTCTTCGATGCCTGATATCTGATCCTATAGACACCTTGTGATCACACAAGCTAGTGTACTTCTTCCATGTGGGCTTTGTTGCTTCTCAGGTAGATGGCCGCTTGTTTATCTTCAAACTTTTAAGACCCCAGGCATTGTATTTTTTGATAGCCAGGCACCATCAGCTTTATTCACCACAGTGGCTTATGTACCCACTTTATCTTCAGCAATCATGTTGGGAACAGGAGCATCATGGAATGCCAGTTTAATAGAACAAAGTGTTCTTGTGTTGAGGGAGTACTTGAATAGAGGCCCAGTGTACATCTGCTACCTTAATACAAAACCTTTAAATATATGTACATAGATCTATTTCCCCACCATCTAAAAATACATTTACGGAAATACAGGGAATCCAGGGCGGATAATCCCTACAGGACCAGTGGTGTTGTGAGTGGCAATACTGGGAGGGTAGAGGGAGAGTGGGTTGGAAAGAGGGAACCGGTTACAAGGAACTCTATGTCACCTCCTCCCTGGGGGAAGGACAACAGAAAATTGGGTGAAGGGAGACGTCGGACAGGGCAAGATATGACAAAATAACAATTTATAAATTATCAAGGGCTCATGAGGGAGGGGGGAGTGGGAAGGGAGGGGAAAATGTATCTACGTACATATATTTAAAGGTTAATGCCGGGGGCTTAAGTGGAGAGGAAATGTTTTGAGGATGAGGACAATGAATGTACAAATGCGCTTTACACAACTGATGTATGTATGGATTGTGATAGGAGTTGTATGAGCCCCTAATAAAATGATTAGAAAAAAATTAAGTAAAATAAAAATATATTTACATATGTACATGCCTGTATTTAGACCTCTATAAGTGCCCTTTGCTTCCTAGTTCTTTCCTTCAATTCCTTTTACTTTCCTCTTGTCCCACTATCATGTTTAGACTTAATTTGGGTTTCAGTAATTCCTCTCAGTTACATTGCCTTTGATCAAGCCCTACCAGGCCTCCTCCACCATCCTCGCCACCGATTTTAGATCCCTTGTTGTTCCCTTGTCCCTGGTTTGGTAACACCCACTTCCTTTCCCCCACCTCCTCATCTCCCATGCCCATCACCCCACCTCACCCCTGCCCTCAATCCCATTGTTTCCTCCTCCGGATTGTTTATCCCGCCTCTCTTATCTAAATAGACATGCAGAGACAGTAATATGCACAAAAACAAGACAGCAAAAAAAGCAACAAAAGAAAACAAACCAACAAGGACAGAAAAAAGAAAAGGGCTATAGTTCTTTTATCTTCATCAGTAAGTGCTTCCAATTCTCTTCACTTTCAGCAAACAAGATTGTCATCTGCATAGCAAAGGTTATTAATAAGTCTACCTCCAAACCTGATGCCAATAAGTCTACCTCCAAACCTGATGCCATATTCTTCAGAGACCAGTTTATTTAATTATTTGATTAGCACACAGATTGAATAGGGAACCACCCTGAAACACACCTTTCCTGATTTTACATCACACAGTATCCCTTTGTTCTGTTGAAGAAGGGCTGCCTCTTCAACTAGGCACAGGTTCCACATGAGTACAATGAGGTGCTCTGAACCTCATTTTTAATATTATACACAATTTGTTTTGCTCACACAGTTGAATGCCTTTGCATAGTCAGTAAACCACAAGTACCTATCTTTCTGGTATTCTCTGCTTCAGCCAAGATCCATCTGATGTCAGTGATAATTATTATATGCCCTCTTCTGAATCTAGCTTGAATTTCTGATAGATCTGTCAATGTTCTGCTGCAAGAGTATTATCTTCGGTTAAAATTTTACTTGCATATGATATTAATGATATTGCTCAATAGCTTATATATTTTGTGTAATTTCAAATATTTATTTCAAGTGTTTATTCCACATAGATCTTTCTTTGGAATGGGCACAAAGATAAATCTCTTCCAGTTGGCTGGCTGGCTAGCTATTGTCCAAATTTCTCAACAGACCAGTGATTGTTTCCAATTTTGCATCAAAATTGAAACATTTTAATTGCTTTCCATCAATTCCTGGAATTTAATTGTTTTTCCATCAAAGAAATTGTTTTTTACTAATTCCTACAGTGCTATCTGGATTACTTCTTTTAATACCATCACTTCTTTATATCACATCATAAACTGTCTCTCAAAATTACTGAATGTTGAACAATTCTTTTTGGTACATTGACTGTATATTTCTTCCGTCTTCTTCTTCCTATGTATTTCCTTCCATCCTCCAAATTTCCAGATTATTTCATACATTCCACATTCTGATTATTAATGGATGTCTGCAGCTTGTTCTCATTTTGAGTTGTGCCCTATCAACAAACAAAGGTCTTTAAAGTTTTGCTTCATCCATGTAATTAAAGTAAACTCTACTTGGAGGAAGGTGTTCTTCCCTAGTCTTACTGTGCGTGCCTTCCAACCTGAGGGGTCATCTTCCAGCTCTCTATCAGGCTGTATCAGGCATTGTTATCAGACAATAATCGGCTGCTATTCCTAAGACTTTCTGTGGTTAATTTTTCATAAGTGGACTGTAAACTCAACTAATACTTTCACTCTGGGTGCACCTGCTGATATTTGAAACACTGGTGGCATAGCACAACACAAACTACCACAGTACAACAAAAACAGAGAAGTGCGGTCCATCTTATCACAACTTCCAACTTCTTTCAAAACTTTCTAATGATTCCACAGTACACACAGAACAAAATCTGTAATCTTAATCTAGCATTTAACATCTCCTCTGAATTCTCGTCAGGAGAATTTTCAGTTTTATCTTCTACTACGTTAGGATCCCTGGTGGTATAGTAGCTACACATTGAGTTGCAATCTGAGAAGTCTACGGTTCGAAACCACCAGCCACTCCAAGGGAGAAAGGTAGGGTTTTCTACTCCCATAAGGAGTTATGGTCTCAGAAGCTCACAGGAGATAGTTCAGTTCTATCTTATAGGGTCGCTATTGAGTCGGCATCAACTCAATGGCAATGAGTTTGGTTTAGCCTTTTTGGTTCCCCAAATGGGCAACACTACCCAACTGGGGGGCACTGGAATGATGGGGAGGTCTGCAAAAGCAGTTACCTACAATTTATCCTGGTTTATAGGCTACAGTAAAAAAGGTTTTAATTGACGGTGTGTGTGTGTTACTGTTTTCCAAAAATGGGGTGGTATTTTGGGGACTTGTGATCGAGGTCTATTGACACACTTCTGAAGGTAATGTTTCCATCTCTCTGACTCTTCTCTGAAGAGTTTTTTTTTAAGTTCAAATATTAATTTCCATGGGTGTGAGCTGACTCAGTGCAACTAACCACATCAACAAATCGGGTAAGTGAAGTCTCAAGTTTCTATATGATCATTACAATTTTCTGAACATATAAAATTATTTTTAAATAGCACTTAAAATTATACAAAAGAAATGTGTTTTCTTAAATACATTTAAGTTCTTCATAATAAAGTTACTCTCCAAAGAGTTTTGCACTCTGTTTATATCACATAAAAATGGTAATTTTGACATGCTGAAGTAATTTGAATCATGTTCCTTTGAAATATTGTTCGAGTTTGGAGAACAAAGAAAAGCCTGAAGGAACAAGAGCATAGCTGTAAGGTTTCTCAACAAAATTCTCATAGGACAGAGTTTGCTGCCCTCAAAGAATGGGTAGATGCATTGTTGTAATCGGAAGAAAAATTCCTCAGCCCAATTTCCTTGGCCCCTTTTCTCATTAATGCACTTTTCAGTTTTCTTAAAATTCCTTCATAGTAAGCTCCCATGATCATTGTGTCCTTTAAGATAATCTATGAAGATTACCCTTTGGAATGCCAAAACAGTCACCATAACCTTTTGAGCTGACTTCTCTGCCTTGAACTTAGCAAGCCCTTGAAAACCACAGCTTTGATTGGACTTCTTTTTTGGGGGGGAGAGAGGGGGCGACACCCTAACAGGACTTAAGATACATACATTAGTTTAAAAAAAAAACAAAGACTGTCCACACTCATCTACTGATAACAAACACCTTTAAATATGTTCTGCTTGTAATAAACCCACGCATATATTAACTGGGAACCTAGTAACAGTACTTTTCAATTTAACCCTCATATTGTGAGTTCCTTCTTCCAGGCCTACATTAGGCAATATTCTGCTATGAGCCATAGAGCTTTCATTGGCTGATTTTAAGACCAGGCCTCTCTTTCTAAGTCTGCTTTAGTCTGGAAGCTCTGCTGAAACCTGTCCACCATGAATGACCCTGCCAGTATTTGCAATAACGGTGGCATATACTCCAGCACCACATTAAGACTCAAGCTAACAGACAGGTGGTAGAAAAAATATATACACCCTCCCCCAATGAAAAATGACATAGTACTATGTGTGAAAACCTTTCCAAGTTAAAAAATAAAAATATACCATATATACTCATGTATAAGCCAAGTTGTATTTTTCTTTTTCCAGGTTCATAATTTATTGTACAAACTGAGTATCATATGGTGAGTTGACATTCACTTCTCCAGGCATGAGAACTTAGCAGCTGAGAACGCATTTAAGATGCTTTCACAGCTGGAGATTTTTTAGGTCTTAACTTGAAGTATAGGACCAGCAGAGCAATGCCCCCATATGTGGCCAGAACACAATTCATTCTACCTGTGAGAGTATAAGAGTTGGAATATTTTTTAATACCAGTGAACTGGAATTGAGCATCAGCTTCTGGACCTGCCATGATTTCGATTTTGCCAAAGCTACAAATTCCACAGCCAGTGTCCTTCATTAGCTGCAGCCACCACTCAGCTGAGCCGAGGAAGTTCACGCACCGTTCCACCGGTCTCCAAAGATGTTTTTCAGCAGATTTTTAAATGCAGTTTTTGTGGTAAAATTAGGTGCGTCAGCTGATATTCGGGTTGGCTTATACTTGAGTATATATGGTGCACATAACTTGCATACAGTGTGTCATTCCACAAAATTCATCAAAATGCTGCCAAGTAAATTGTGTCTATACTTCATTCATTACATAAAAACTCTTCAAAACAAAAATTGAAAAATATTGTTCTGACAGCTATGAACATGCATATTATCTGAACCCAACATATGACAGGTGCATGGGCATGAATTATTTAAAGTGGCTCTTCTAATCAATGTCTCTTTAACTCCCACCAACCTTTTCCTATATAGGTCTCTTAAGGAGATAGGAGGAAATACTGATAGGATTCATCTGTAAGTGCTTGTGAACAGGCTACACTGGAATGACAGCCTGCTGCATAGAAAATAAGCCCTCTGAGAAGCAGGATGGGGGAATCTCACTACCATCACAAGCCAGGAGTGGAGAGTATCCTCTAGGCCATGGGTCCTCAAGCTTTTTAAACAGGGGGCCAGTTCACTGTCCCTCAGACTTGTTGGAGGGCCGGACTATAGTTTTAAAAAAAAAAACTATGAACAAATTCCTATGCAC